TGGTCAGAAATGAATAATTTTATTGATTTCAAAATTGTAATTACAATTTTCTTTTTAATTTCATTTTGGAAATATTGTAAAACAACGTATTTTTTACACAAACTGCATTATGTACTTCATATTTGAATGTTGGTGTACTTTATAGTTAAAATCGCTTAAGTACAATTAAGATAAAACCGGGACAGTTCAATTTATGTATTAGTTATAAATAAAATTTAAAAATTTTTGCTTTTTAATTAATGCTTTTAAGGAATTAAATCCGAATCACCTGTAGTTTTTCGATATAGTGTCTTTTTATTAAAATTTAAACTATTATTGAAGACTGTGTGAGAATGTATGAGCTCTATATTTCAATTTGCACCTACAAATGTCCGCATAGGTTTCAAATAAGCTCTTATGAAGTATAAAGAAATTGCCGAATAATTGTTCTTCACATTGCTTTAAACTGCAATCCACATGATCACCAGGCTCCTGATATTTTTCAAATGTAATTTATTCGCCATAAAAATAAGCCAATGAACGCATCAAAACCATTTACCCAAAAAATAAATTTTTAAAATGTGAACACATTCCGGCTTAGAATGCAAAAGTATAAATTTGGAATTTTTTTCTGATATAAGTGCATAATAATATTCTGCAATGTAAAAAATAAAGACGACAACACAATAAAAATATTGATAATAATTAATTGTTGTAATTGCTGTAACTGGTTATACATAAAACATTACAATCATATTATGCGGGTATAAGCGTATGTAACCGGTTTGTACAAATAATATGAAATATCTGTGCAAGTTTTCACTTATGAGAATTTATTTTTTCTTATATTTTTTTTTTTTTATAATTTCATTTTGCAAAACATTTTGATAAAGATAAAAAAAAAAAAATATTAATTTCAACCACTTTAATTTTGTATTGATAGCGGTGGGATGTTGATAATGAGGATATTAATATGATTTAAACGCCTTTGATCATTTTTGTTTTTTTTTTTTTACAGTAAAGTATTTAAATTCTGTTGTTCATCTCAGCCCTACTGTGATTTGTGATCAATGACGAGCTATAATTTGACCCAGAAAGCTGTTTACCCAGCTCGCTTTCAAACAAATACCCTCAAACAAGCTTATTCAAGTTTATGCTTATCAATTTTCATGTGATACACCATATAGATCTTCAAGCTTATAGAGAGTTTAACTCATAACGTGATCTTTATTCAAAAGCGAATTTTTTGTCATATTAGATGTCGTCGTGAGTATATGCTCTGCACCCTTCTAACTTTGAACTTGGATCAGTCAGAATATATTTTTTTTAAGGATCAGAATTATCAGTCGTAATATATTTTTTTTTTTTCAACCGACCGACATAATTTATTTGAGCCGCAAAAATTTTGCACGTGCCAATCACAAGTCACATAGCTAGTGTCACTACTTGTTTTAAATAAGTTTTTTATGTAACTGTAAATTTTATATTAATCTTCTTTCAAAATTTGGTTTTAATTTCAGTAGATTTTATTTAACCCTCACTGTGTTCATACTCAAATTTGGATAGGTACTTATGATTTGTATGAAATACTTAAATTATGAGAATGCATTACAATAAGTAAAAGTTTTTTCATTTATAATTTCAAGTATAAAAAGTAAAGAGCAAAAAAAAAAGTTGTATATAGGACCTGATTTTTGGAATCTCTAAAAACATAAAAGAATACCAAAATAATCAGAAATGAAATTAAAATATGGCTGGAAGCAAAACGTCTGCAATTAAGATATTTTAAGGGCACTATATGGAATTGCTGATCTATTGTTATCAACATTACATGTTATTTATAAATGTATAATTATAAGAAAAGAAAAAAAAATCATCTGAAATAAAAGTAAAAGGTCACTAAAAGAAACTAGTTGTCCTTATACGCGTTCAATACATTCGAGATTTCTTACATGTATGCATGTACTTAGTATTGAGTAAATAGTACATATATAGGCCCTTTGATATTCAATTAAAATTAAAAGTGGGTTTCAGATACGATATAAAGCAATTAAATAAAATTAATAAAACCGATTTCGTTCGAAAAATTCCGATATATCAAAATTTGAAATGCTATTGCAGAAAATTACTTGAAAATGTTTCGAAGAAATTTATTTCTGCTCCACTATAATGTTAATATAGATGGTATTAAGGCTATGCAGATTCGTTTCTTTCGTTTTGTTCTTCGTGGTATGGATTGATCGTCTCTTAATTATGAAAGTTAACTTCAGCTTTTGGATTTAACGCTGCTTCCTTGTGATTGGGTGGTTTCTAATAGGTAAAACAGTGCTTAAGTCCACTCTCTACACTAGCATAAATATTTAATTAATACTACGAACATTATTTTTCCTCTCCCTTTCCCATTCCAACTACAAACGATGACGATTTTAATTATAGTAACTGATAGCCAAGTTTACTGACTAAGCGGCATGTATTTTGCTATACGAAATGCTTGTACCAAGCAGTTGTCTAACATAAAACAAAAATTTGCATGTTAAACTTCTAACACGGCTAGACAATAGAATATTAAAATTATTTGAATTGACTAAACATTACTGACGCCTATTTTAGATTTTAAAAATTCAAATAATGTTCAATTGAATAGCTTGTGAAGAAGAATTATTAAAATGCACTTAGATTAAGTCAATGTATACGCAATTATTATAAGATCTAAATATAATTTGTACAATTATTATTAAAAACGCTCATAAACATATGATATCAACGTCATTGTACGGCTAACAACACAATAACATTGCAAATTTTTGAATAGTTACATTTCCTTATTGTAAGTTCACTTGCTTACAACTTTCATTAATATTTTTCTTTATAGAAAATGTCATATATACTAACGCTATTTACCGACAGACATCGTTGTCGCATTAAACGTGCATAAATTTCATTATTGTCTATTGTAATTTAAATTATCACAGATTTTTATCGCAACAATATTGTATAGCTTATATACCCTAAAAGGAAATCATATGTACATATTTTATGATTTAAATTTAATTATGTAGAATACAGAGTGTTTCACTATTTTTATAAATTTTTTAACAGTTTGCTCTCTTAATTTTTTTGTTTTTCCTTCTTCACTCCTAGGAGGAGCATAGGGCTAGTGCATAATATCTACCCTCGTTTCTATAGTCATAGAGAGCTATCTAGGTAGGTGACTAGCCTACCGTAGTTTTTATTTATATTAAATATTTAACTTTATTAAAGTTTTTAATATCGAATATTATGAATATTTGAAAATTACTTGTATAATATTTATTAGTATTGTATATTAAGTTATATAATATTGAATATAATTTTTATAGTGACCTGACCGGGGTTTGAGCCCGAGATCCTTCGGTTAAAGGACCGGTGCCGTAACCACTGCACCGGTCCTTTCCTGCACTGCGGGTGGTTAGGTCGCTATCTTCATTAGTTGTAGTTTATTTGCTTGTTTTAATACTAATCCCGTCATTCATTATACAATGTGTCCAATTTTAAATAGGCTCATTTTTATAAATGTGAATGTGTTTGGACATGTTTTCCAGGTATATTTTTATCATGCTCAATCGTCAAAATTCTATTCCGCAGCTACATGAGATATAAGGTTTGTGATAGGTAACGGAATAAATTTAAGTTCGTGCAAAATTGAGTGCGGTTAAAAGAGTATATACCTTTTTGTTTCTCCAAACTATTGTTTTCGTCTAAAAAGCAACCGAACAGTTTCCATACCTGTCAAATTCAAATACGGTCAAAGAATCAGAAAATAAATATAAACTCGAAAATTAAATTCGGTTGAATTAATTAACTCCAAACTAACTTTTAGTTGAAAATATATACGTTTTTAAGACAATTATCTGACAGCACTTAGAAAGATTAATATTAAGTTTTAACCAAAACCATTTAATTAACCACTAAAACTAAATATTACCTTAATTCATAAAAGTGTAAATTTCTAATTTAAATTATGGTACCTATAAATAAGGGGGTATATGGTTTTCAGTCCATATACATAAGTATAATTGAATAGTGGTAATTAAAAATGATCACAAATCATTGATCACCAAATTTGTTAAAGTGAAAGCAAACTTCAAACTTTAAATTGATTTTATTTTTTGCTCTTTTTATTTTGATTAATTATACAATAGTGAAAAAAACCATTTATAAAAAAAAATTTACAATTTAATTAAAAATTATTTTAATCATCATCTTGTGGTAGCACAAATTTGTGGTAAGTACTTAAGAAATTACAAGAAATTATTGGGAATGCGCAAACTATATTTTTTATTTGGTCAATAACCCTTTCATCTATGGAATTATTTTGTTAGAAACAAAGCACTTATACATATTCCATAGTTCCATAATACAAACTTTGATCTGAGTTCTCGTATAAAATAAGGAAATGAGATAGAATTGGCTCGACTCTTGTAACAATATGTTTTACGATATAAAAACGATTTTAAAAAATTATTGATTAGCCCCATTTTGCTTTCACACTTTGAAATGCAATTGATAATTATAGACATGTGTCCACATTATAATTCAAAGTATCGAGTGCATTAATTAGAAAACTTAACACCAGAATTAAAATTAATTGAACAGAGTAAGTCAAGGATACTTGAATTTACCCTATATATTAACCCTAATAAAATTATTGTCATATTGCAATTTGTAATGCATTTGAAAAATTTTTAGTGCTCGTAATAACTTAATTTTGTTTAATACAGTAGAGTCGCGATATAGTGACCAATTAAATGTTCAGGGTGGTCATTGTTACGAGGAGTCTACTATTCCGAGACTAGTGTTTTTTTTCTTCAATCAATATTATAATTTATTCTTCATCAGTAAAGGTTACATTTGTTTCAGAAAAATAATTTTAAAACTCTTATTTTTAATAAAGTACGCATATTTAATTTTATTTAAAAATAAAAATTATAAAATAAAAGTAATAACATCCATTCAGTTCAAAACAAATACATAAAACAAAACTAAAAATTAACAAAGAATCTGAAAACATAAGTTAGGAATTTAAATAACTTTTTACATTTATTTGAAAGAGTTCTGGTTTTAACGCATTCATTTGAAAAATCTGTAATCTTGCATTCTTTAAATGTTTGCTTACTTTGCTCCAAAACAGCTCTTTCTCGAATATTTTTCAAAACGGAAATTTCTTCGTTTGTTGCACGATTTTCTAATGTGTATTTCAAACAGTCGTTGATGGCTTTGATTCCATCAGAATGACTCATTTTAGTTTGAACTTCTACTACCTCTTCAGATACGTCAGTATCATCAGATTCAATTTCAACAGCAGGAGTTTCATCATCTAAGTTTACATCTTCATTCCACGTATAAATATCTTTTGATGATAAGTTGGCATTTGGACAAATCTTCTGAAATAATGATTTTGTAATGTTCATTTCCTGATCTGAAAACATTTGGGATTTTAAATTTATTAATGGGATTTCATCTTCAGAATCATATTCATTATCGAAAGAAGTAGAAAAAATTTTTTTCCAACACTTAGCTATCATTACAGGTTCTAAACTTTCCCAAACTTTCGATAAGTTTGTAACAGCATTACGAAGGTTAAATTTTTTCAATATAAATTCTAAATCTTCAGCCTTATTTGCGATTATGTGGGACAGAAGTAGATTTCTGTATTTCAATTTTGTGATTCTAATACAGTTTTGGTCCATAGGTTGGATTAGGGCAGTAACATTAGGCGGCATAAACATTGTAATGATTTGACCATCATCACTTATGAGTTCATCTTCAGGTGGATGACTTGGAGCATTGTCAAGCAAAAGAAGAGCTGTTTTACGAAGACCTTTTTGTTCAAGGTAGCATCTCACTTGAGGAATAAATTTTGTGTCGAACCATGTTTTGAAAATTGAGCAAGTCATCCAAGCTGATTTTGAAGAATCATAATCTACAGGAATGTGTTTATTTTTCAGGCAACGTGGATTTTTTGACTTTCCAATAACAAGAGGTCTTATTTTATGATCACCAGACGCATTCGTGCACGCTAAAAATGTCAAACGTTGTTTACAAACTTTTCGGCCAGGCGCATTTTTTTCTTTGTTTGAAACGTAAGTTTTATCCGGAATCAGTTTCCAATATAAGCCTGTTTCATCCGCGTTGTAGATTTGATCCGGCGCTAGATTAAGCTGCTTTATTTTTTCTGCTAATTTGATTAAAAAAGGATCTACAAGTTCTTTTTGAGAAGACAACTTTTCACCACAAATTTTTATAAATCGAATTCCGTGTCTTTTTTTGAATTTTTGGAGCCAACCAGAACTAGCAGAAAAGTCATCTTTTTTATATATTTTTTTGTAAAAGTATTTAGCTTTGTTCTTTAAAATGGTACCATCAATCGGTATATTTTTTTTTCTGCCTTCTAAAAACCATTCATACAACATTTTTTCTAGCTTAAAGAATTCACCAGTGCGCATTGTTTTTCGTTTACCTATACAGGTAAAAAAGTCATTTTTACACAGAAATAAACACTAATTATAAATTAATGTATGTACTTCTACTTACCTAGGCCACCAAATGAATTAGCATTAGTAGAACTAAGTTTTTGACTCTGTTTTTTTATAGAGAAAATTGTAGACTTTGCAATACCATACTTCTTTGCTAAAACTGAACTGCAGACTCCTTTTTTTAATTCATCTAGAATTTCTAACTTTTCTTTTAGAGTTAAAAATTTTCTAATATTTCCAGTCATTTTTACTTATTAGGAAATTGAAAGACTACGATATTATTGTTTTAACACTTCCAAATTACTGACAAAAAATGTAAAGCAATGTACAGAAATGCAAATATAGAAAGCAAAACAAAAAAAAAACAACTCCAATTGTAACGGTTTTACAATAAGGAAAAAAACATGTGGTTGATTTACAAAAAAAATTTTTTAGGGTCACTATTTAGAGTTACGAAATTGTTTTGGGTCACTATTTAGAATACGCAAAATTCAAATGGTTGGGTCACTATATTGGGAGGTCACTTTACTGGATGGTCACTATATCGCGACTCCCCTGTATATTTTAAATTCAAAAGGCATAAAAATTTTGTAATAATAAAAAATTATATAAAAAAATGTTACACAATTTATTCCAAATTAATTAAGAAGCTAAAAATTCATAATAAAATTAATTTATAATTACAAAATTAAACCTGACAATTTAATTTCATTTGAATATGAGCACTTTTACTCAAAATTCATTATGAAGTGCGGTGCTTTCATTTCATTTGATTGAGCTTGTGCCTTGTGTACTCGTTTTTAAATTTTAAAGAAAGAAATTTAATGGGTACTTTATAAGGTACTTCAAAATCATATAAATAAAGGTATGATAGGGTAATTAATTGATTTAATAAAGGGAAAAAATGAAAATAAAATATTTTACGACTTCAATTTGAGCAGCGGATATTGAAAACCTTTAAAAGAAATTGGAAGCAATGAAAATTGAAATACTTAAATTTTAATTGATTTGATTGAATTTTAATTGAAATTTTTGTTTTTTTTGAAACTCATTTATGGTCTGTTGATAAAGCAGTATTACGTAAAAATTTGATAGATTTGAAATAAATATTTTCACGAAATTAATATTGTGATTTATTCAGTTATAAACATTCATAGACGTCATGTTCAAATTCAAGAAAAAATATAAGTAGGTATGAGCTTAAAATTTATATAAAAAGCCTAAGTACTTTGGCAAAAAAATGATATAAGAAATATATCAAATAATTACAGGGTGTCTGAAAAGTTCCCGTACTTTTTTTAAATATTTTTACAACTTAGAACTGTTACATGGATCTGGAAATCAACAATGTTGATTTTGTTGATTATGTTGTTAACAGTTTCAAGTGTCAACATCTGGTCAGAGATGTTTATTAGAGTAGTAATAACAATATCCAATAAAAAATTTACAACAAATGCTCAAAATTAGCTCCATTTGCAGTAATACATGCACCATGATGTTACATTTTTTGTAACCAGTCGTCCTGACAATCTCAGCTGTCTTCATACCTGACCTGTGTAATTCTATAACAGTAATGGGCTTGTTATCGCGATTCATTTCTAGGCTAACAAAAAATAAAGACACAAAATTAACAGGTACCACTTGGGGTAAAATTACCGATGAATGCAAATAATGAAATCAAATTGAAAAAAAACCAGAATTATAACGAGAAAAATTAGAATTTCCAAAAAGGCGAGAACTTTTCTGACACCCTGTATTTAAATCGGAGTATGCTTTTAAAATTTCATCTAAGACGGTTTGACTTTTAAGATTTTAGTGTTGCAGCTTTGAATCAAATTAATTGTCTCTAATGTATGTATGTGCATTAGCAAATATTTGAATGCTCTTCTTGATTTATTTAATTTCGTAAATAAATTGGCAATATTAACAATATTTAATTTTATTTACTTAATATTTTAAAAAATAAATAATATATTGTAATTGACAGAAACAACCTTTCAAATTAAATTTAAATAATAAACAATTACCGTAATTTTACAATTATATAATTTATTCACTTATTTACTTAATATCTTTATTTACCTACACAAAAATATCTCATTACGAATTTTTGGCCAATATTTTATTTTGCCTATTATTTATTCGACTATTCAAAAACTCATTGTCTCTGAAAACAACGAAATTCGCAAATTAATAATAAAAATTTTCAAAATATGTAAAGAAAAATATCATGTTACATTTAAATACCGTTATTTATTTATTAAAAAAAAAACAAATACCATCATTATTCATTTTACAATAATTAACTGAATTCATAGAGTTACCAGGTTTCTATAAAATTATATATTATTAATAAGTAAGTTAATACAAATTGTAAATTCTATATCTGAAAATGCTAAAATACACATATATATATATGCGTCTAAATTAACATATATGCAAATTCTTAGCATTTTTAGTTTTTCCAGGAAAACTAGAAAAAACCGATACAATTAAAATGATTTGAAATATATTATATTTTATTCCACAATTTTTGGAGAAAGTTTGAAAACTATTCGGAATATTAGATTAGTTTTCAGAGTTTGAGTTTTAGTGCGAATCGTGATACAAGTATGTTACTAATTTATTTATAACCTAATTTTCTGAATAATTAGTGAAATGTTTAAAATTTTATAGCTTAGAGATCTCACACAGAACTCAGATTTAAATATGTTCTCGAAAAATTCAATCATAATTCAATTATTAAATCAATTCAATAAACAAAGATTTTTCTTGAGGCCTTGTTCGATGGATTTTTAAAATTAACTCCGAGCAAAAATTGTTAAACTGTTTTTAAAGACCTTATACAATCGATTATCCTTACAGTTGTAATTTCATGACCTTCGACTGCCACCAAATAGAGTTGGTATTCAAATTTTTTGGTTCTGAATTTTGTAATTTTCTTTTGTAAAATTAATTGGTAACCCATGTACATATAGCACTTGTGACCAGTAAGTAAACAGTAGATCTCGAAAGTGAGCGTATCATACCGCAATTCGACAAGAAATTTATTCCTCATCTTTATCAATTGATATCCGTGGTTAACTTCAAAAATATATACATAAAAAAAATATTTACCACAAAAACAGTACTAATCTGGCAACACCATTTTAAAAAATTTCAATGATTTTTTTTTAAAAGCATATGAACTTTAAAAATTGTCACAGGTGAAATAAATCCTTCAGTTCGAAAAGTAATTGAAATATTTTTCATTTTTTTTTATTTTTTTTTATTTACTTATCATTTAAGCTTTATTGCAATTCAAATTTGTTAATAATTCATTCAATAATGGTAGTAGCTTTCAAAATAAACGAATACATGCTAAAATTAAAGCAACCAAAAAATAAAATAAAGCTTGTTAACAAAAAAATAAATTAAAATTAAAATTAAAATTCAGAGAAAAAAATTTTTAAGGTTTCCAAATTCAAAATTGAAATAATTAACCATTACTAAATTGAGTTGATTTTGCGAAATTTTTACCAAAAGAATTTCGAATCAAGTCAACTAAAGTAGTGTTGTAAAATATCGGGGAAGAAAAACCGATGTGGTGAGCACATAACCGACCGCAATGCTCAGTTTAGTCAAAATGCTACAGAAAATTATGAAAATGCATTTTGAACATTTCCTTTCAATTTTAAGAAAGCTTTAAGCTTGGGTTTTAGTAAAACGAAAACTTAATTATCAAATTTCTAGATATTTCATCAATCCGTTCCGTATGGTAAAAAATGTAAAATCAGCCCCCAGTTCGGTTTCCGAGCCCTGATCTTTCCAAAAAATTTATTAAATTGATTATTTCCCTTTATATACGCAAAATGTAAAATTGCTGTAATCCCAAAAAAATATAATCCCAAAAGTTATTCAATCCACGCCATAACCCAAAATGAACTTATATATAAAATCATCAAAATTCATCAAAATCGGCTCAGGCGAATTTGAGATACACGCGTGCACACACACAGACCGACACACCGACATCTCTCTAAAACTAGTTTATTTACGCTTTCCTACTATATGGAGAATAGCGTTCCAACCGAAAACTCGAAATCCAAAATTTGGTGCCATCACATCACCTACCTTATTGTATACAATGAAGTCAGTAATAATATTAAATTTTAAGTTTCGAAATGTTATGTGAGTTTATTAGCATTTTATTTTATTTATTTTTGCATAGTATATGTGTAGGTATGTAGGTCTAGCTTTTACAAAATATTTAATATTTATGCCATATTTAGCTTGTAATGCAACAGACTACTGTTTAATTAACAATACTTATTTAGTTAAGATTGACATGCACCTAATTCTTATAAACAAATCTCAAATAAAATTAGTTATTCAAGGAATTTGCAATATTTACCTCTATATACAATTAACGGTATATAAAGTATGCATAACTGTAAATAATTTTAAAAGTTTTGTAAATTAAATAAAAATTTTTTGAAGGCAAGCGATACATGCAGAAATTTGACATTATATGTTTTTTTTAGTTTATAGAAATTTAATTTAAATTACGAACTGAATAATCCTTTCCAAATGGATTATGGAAAGATAATCTTTAGTTATACCTTCCAACTAATAATATAAAGTGTGAACGACCCATCCCAGTCAACTCTTTGGTTATAGCAATAAAATAAGATCAAGGTAGAAAATTAGCATTTTTATTGGTACTATAAATTTATACAAATGTATATATATGTAAATATAAATTTTAAAATTTGTGATTTCCTTTCCTGTAGCTTGCCCTAGAAATTATCGAAGACCTCTTGGAATCTTGAAGTAATGGCGTTAAATTAAGTATGTAGTATTAAGAGAAACATCAAAAACCAAAAAAAAACGTTTCCTATATAAAACACAAAGTTTTGTAGCGAGATTTCAAAAATCTGGGGACGAAATTCATTCATCTATTTTAGGAATAATTTACAAAGCTCAATCTTATTTACGAAATATTAATTTTCACGTGATTTAAATTGCTCCAATCAAAACTTAAATGTGTAATGGAAAAATATTTAAAGGATTGTAAATCTAAATAGCACATGTAGTATGAGCATTA